TCAGCACTTTTAAATTTTATTTGTTTGTAGCTGGTGTTACTGGCCTTGAAGTCAAGATTATCTCACCTAATATTGCCTTCACTTCTTAACTTGTAAAGTGGGGATGCTTCAAACTTTTTCAGAGGCATCAGGAAACATCTCCAAGTACTTCAGATCAAACGAAGGTGCTTTCACCTATTAAAAGCAGTCGGTTACCCCCGCCACCACTTGCAGAACTATTTTATATTTTAGGTCCAACAACAAAACAAGTGCTCGCTCCCCAGAGCTTCATCTTGTCCCCCCAAACCACCAAGACGTCTCACAGTGAAGCTGTAAAACCCTCAGCGTGCTAACAGCTTGTCTTACACCCCGCAGCACCAGCCTGCACCTTACACTGAGGAACTAGACCATCCCTAAGTCCAGCTTAACTCGCCCAGAACCGTGGCAAAACTCAGAATCTGTAACTGAACAAGCACGTACTGTTCCTCCAGCTCTGCATTGCAGTTTCCCCATCATCTCCCTCCTGGGAAGCGCTGTGCGGAGGGACTGAGCCCTGCTGAAACCAGCCCCGGTGAGCAGGGCTGTGGCGGCCTCCGGCGGCAAGCGGGGAGAGGACAGGCAGGAGCCGGCCCAGTTCCCAGGCTGGTTTTGTTACAGCTTTTGTGGGTTTTGTTTTCTGCACACTTTCAGGAGGGCATTTCCACAGAGCCAGGGAAACAATCCGTCCTCCACGCACGCAGGAAATTTCAGGGACAAACCAGGAGACTGGGAGATTTCCACCAACACCAATGATTTCACTCGATGTAGGAAAAGCGTCTCTTGAAAATACATAAAAATAGTTGCACCTCAAGCCTTCTTGCTTTGGATAAACTGTAAAGTTACTCTGAATATTCCGATTCTTCTGTACCAAGTCTTAGTAGTGCAGATTTATGATAGGTTACACAGCCTGAAGTGATCACAGACAAGTACATTTTCCATGTTAAAAGACACGCAAACATTCGTTAACGCTTCCCAATTCCCTACTCCTGTTTACTAACCATTCAGAGTATGTAGTAAGAAATAAAACACTGCCCAGAGCAATCTGGGGAATCACATCAGCCTGCCAAAATCCTTTTAAGATTACTAAATACTGTTATATACAAAAACCCCACTTCATCTCTCTTACCTAATATGAAGCCTCAAGGCTTTAAAAATTACACTTGACCTTAAAACCTAGTATTTAATGTAATTTAACGGAAGTCCAGTAGGAAAGCTAGACATTTACTTCTAGGACTAGAAGAAATGTTAATCTGCTTATCATCATCAGAAAAAAAGTGCTGCATTCATAGCAAAGTATCACCCAACACAGGACAACACAACGCTCCACAGAACGTGCCACAAGTGGAATAGCTGTCAATACGAATATATTCAAAGCACAGCTGGTTTGCTGTCTCCACTTCAGAAGCAGGTACCTGTCAACTGTCAAAGGCTTTTTATACTCCATAATCCGTTGATCTTTCATCAATTATCCCCAATCTTTTGCATAACTCTTCTACAAAAGTGAGCAAGTAGAAGACACACTGTGCGGGGGAGACAGTTAATTAGAACAAGTATCCTTGGGACATCACAGAAAAGGTATTTCAGGATCATTTAAAGGCCACGGTAAAATAATTTTTTAAATTATTATCTATCTACCATTTCAACAGAGACCTAATAGAAAATTATGATTATTAACCAAGTGAAAGCAGCAGATAAAGCCCTTTTACAATGAAGGCTCTCATTTCAATCTCAGCCAGTTCCTCTGCTACCACGTCTTACATGTGGAGATAACGGAATGTTTTCATTTCCCCCCATTCAATTCAGATATGATACACATACATAGACAGGATACGACACCTTCCACATCTGTGAACTGCTACATTCTGTAATTAAACTAACGAGCCTGATTATAGGTCGGAGCTGATGTCTAGAACCAGGCTATATAAGATGATCTTTGTCAGTGTTTTCAAAACCTGACCCGAGACACTATAAATGTGCCCCTACAGTCTTGTAACACTGCCATCGATCCAAACAGCACACTTCAAAGAAGAAGACACGTCCCCCAACCAAAAAAAGCTGGTATTTCCTTAGGCATGCATTACTGTGCTTAGGAATGAAGGATCACGATTTCTAAAAATAATCAGAAAGCGGCTCTGATGCAGCCAGCCATTTTTACACTGAAGTGCAAAGCAAAGGCCAGTGCTGTCACTTACGCAATTACTTCTGAGCACGGCTATCTAAAACACTAGCATATGGAATCCTTCTCAAAAATATTAAAAGCAGCAGCATTTCTTGCCTCCTTTCACCTTGCTTTTTTCCTCTGTACAGAACTACAGGCTCCATTTTAAGTTAAAGGTGTTACAATCTGAGACAATTGAGACACAATTTGTCAGTTCTTTACACTGAAAGATGCTGATGGCGAAATATATAGAAAGAGTCAGCTCTCCTGGCATGCTCTTATAGTTAAGACACTTGGTATCTTCATTCTTGTTTCTCCCCCGACCATTATTACACAAGACTTGTCTACTTCGAGCTGAATAACATATGGTAAAACTTCAAGCGTTTAGTATCCAATTTGTACATCTTCCCACTCTCCTCCGATCTTAAATTTTGATTATTTGAATTTTTCACGTGCACAGACAGGCTGCTTGCCCTGAAGCATGCAACGTCCGTTCTGCAGACAGACCTATGTTTGGAAGCAGTGAAGCAACATACCGCCCTTGCTGAACCTGCAAAATCCTCTACACTATGTTCCAGCATCTTATATGGAGACCGCTTCTGATCAAGTTTATCTACTACTGTTTCTGCCTTAAAATAAATTATAGAAAAATCCAATTGGAACTGACTTCAAAAGTTTTACTTAAAAGTTGATTTGCACATGGAGAAAGCAGGCTTAAGTCCTCTGCAGGCTTCATTCAGCTGCACATAGTTGCAGATACTGTGATTACTATTACTACACTATACGCCATGGCTGAAAATTTCTTAGAAGCTCAGAGTATATAAGATATCCCCTTCTTTTCAGCAACTCTATCAACATAAAAAGACCAGCATCAAATCTTCAATGTTTACTACACCATAAATATTTTTATATATTTATATATATATATGTATGTAAAATCTCAGAAATTATACTTTCAGGCAAAGAAGTCACAATTAATATTTAGATCTTTTATGAGCAAAGATGTTTTAATGTGTCACATTTTGAGACCATCGATCTTTCTTTACAAGAAAAGAAAAAGTACTTCATAGATTCAGAGCTCGAGAGGTCCACAAGACTTTCTGCAAATAAAAATGCATGAAATACATACATCATCCTTCATACATAAATTATTTTGCCATAGGGTTGAGAACACAGTAAGTGTTAAACAATATTTAAAGTACCTGAAAAGAATCTCTCCTTGGAGAGAGAGATTAACTGAACATCCTCCTGGACAGCTGTGCAAATTCTCAACATATGCTTTTCTGTACAAGTGGTTTAAAAATCACACAGCAAGTTCTGGAATATTCAAAACAATGATTCGATAGAACAAACATTCTACAGTTACCTCAATTCCATAATATTTTGTTACAAACAGTTATCATGGCCTAAGCCCTGTGCGTTGGTGCTCAGATTCATGGCCTTGTCCAGGCAAAATTGTCTCAAGAGACCAAACCTTAGCTCTTGTACTAAAGCCCAAATGGGTGGCTGAATAAATTCAGCTTTTCTGACACTGAACCCCTTCCCTCCCATGTAACTTGACTCACTCAAATTTCAGATATTAAGTAGCAGACTTATCAAAGTGAGATCATGTATAAACAGCACAGTCAAAAGCTACATCAGATGTAGGAAGACTAGTGGTTGAAAAACGTGTTGAGCATCTTTGAAGGCACAAGTTTCCCACATCACTGCTAGAGAGAAAGAAGAAAAAAGATTAAGTTAGAAAATTAAGTTTGCCGTTTTGATAACTGTGTTCTGTCATTCAGTACAGAATAAAGCAAAATAGTTCATTTATGCAGTGATGAGGAAAACTTGAGAGAGAAACTAAGTCACTGCCTGTCCCTTGAGAGATCAAGTCCAGAAATCAAGACTCATATTTTAAAACTTAGCTTTTCCTAATCTAAGGAAAGAAAAAAAAAAAAGTTAAATGTGCAAGTGCTATTTGGTAATACTCCCTAAAACCAGAATTATATTTGCATCTTAAAGGTGTGTGTGTTGGAAATTCAATAGCACTTAAATCAAGTTGAAGAAAACCACATTGCACAAAAACTATGTGGAGCTACACCCTGGTTCGTAAACCAAATTAAAATCAGAAAAGGTGTAAGTTTTTCATTACCTATTGAGCTGCATATGGAGCCTATTCTGTGACTACTCTGTGACTACTAAAAACAGAACTAGGACTAGACTGATTATTAGCAGTTACCTGACCAGACGTAACTGGCCTGAAAGTGAAACTAAAAGATTAGCACATAATAAATATTCTCCTCCTTTTTCCTATGAACAATTAGGAAGTGGCATTATCCACTCTTCCATTCAATGTATAACAACCTGATTAATTTAAAGAGGAAGCTGAATCTACAACCATCTTTACCAAGCAGATATTTAGAAGGCCACTATTAAGTCATTTGCCACCATCACCAGATGTTCACTTGAATTGTAAATGCAGTAGTTTCTTCCACTCTGTCCCTGTAGAAATATTCCTCAGAAAGGAATTCTAACACACAAACGGATGTCATCCATCCAGAGGGACCTGACATTCTAACACTGACAGCCTACTGACAGACATAATGAAACAGCAAAGATGCTCCATGATTATAAGGATGACGCAGCAGCCAGCGGAGTGACAGAAGAGCCTTTCCAAACCAGAGCTAGCAAGGGAGGGAAAAAAAAAAAAAAAAATCACTTCTAAACTTTTTGTAACTGTGAGTATACCTTGCAGTAAATGTGCTCTTGCATCTGGCTACTACATCCATGATTTTCCCATGAAGTTCCTTAAAGTAGATACTATCACTAAGCAGTAGTTTTGTTCCAGCAGTATCTGATGATTAGATGACTGAGCTTTATACATGTCATTGTGTATAAATAAGCTACAGTAACGAAATTCCTTCTGAAAACCCCTACCACTAACATGACGATACCAAAACACACAGGCGTGGCAGGCTCAAATCTGTTTGATACACACGTGACACCTGTTCACAGTGACAGAACAGCATGTAAGGTTCCAGAAATACCTTATCTAACCCCATTCCATCACGCTTGGGGTTTCCTGACTTTTGCCAGTAAAGTTACTTCTATGTCCATACACATAAACTTAATGAATATTGAATGTACTTTTGCGGAGAGAAAACACTAAAATTTACACACCATCTAGACTGACACTTGCTCCTTTTTGTAAGTATCCATATAAATCTGCTTTGGGTGAATTCATTTAATAGGAACATTTTAATTTTTTCCTGAAACTCCTGACCAAAATGACGTCTTCTTTGGTCCCTCACTCTAAAAATAACTTCCCATTCACCAAGCCAACAGATGTTAGAACTATAAATGTGCAAGAGACTTCTAAAAAAATTGGCTTCCTTTGTGAAAAGACTATTCCAAAGTGTAAGTGCAATCTTCCTTTCTGGGAGGCTAGCTACTGCCATGCCATGGTAGCCTGACAGGCATGTCAGAACCAGGGGCAAACCCAGACCCCTGCAGTGGAACTCAGGGTCACACACAGAAACTGGCTTAAATACTCTATCTAGACCTTGATGGATGAGTCCCAGTATTACCCTCACATCAGGAAGGGCTCTAAATACAGCTGCAACTCAAGCTCAACGTTCTTTTAAGAATAATGGAGTAAATCTATACTGACCAAGTGCATTAATTTTGGTTAAAAAAGTGACCAACATTACTGACTACACTTCACCGGCTAAACTATCCGGCTATCCACAGATTCTGTTTTCTATTTTTCCTGTGCGTTGTTTTTCTTTTTTGCCCTACAAGTTATCTGAAAACTAAAAGCAACAGGAGAAATGCATACACACAGGGTACACTTTCAGAAATTCTTTAGTTTCTGCCCACTAGAATCTAACTGACATGTCTTGACATCTGCTTAGGAACACTTGTGACTGGTAAAATAATGTTTATTATCTACAGGTATCCTATCCAGCAACTTTCTTCCTAGTCGTTGCTATTTGTGAAGTGCACCGTTGCTAAATGAGCTATTTACAAATGTAAACTATGTAATTAAAGTTTAAAAATAAATAAACAACCTTTACATTAGATAACAACTTGACAACAAGGTAATAGATCATCCAATTACATCTTTCAAACAATATGACCTGTGTATGCCACTTTTTTTGTTTTAAAATGAAGAAAATCCTTGGCTCACAATCTATTCTGCAAGAACTTCCTTGATTTTCTTCCTTTATGATGGATAATTGTGTAAAAACTCCTTAAGTTTTGTTGGATAGTCTGTCATCACCCCAGTTGCTCCCAGGTCAAATGCCCTCTTGTATTCTTGTTCTTCATTCAGTACCCAAATATACACCTGTAGGATGGGACAGAAAGACAAATTATTATAGGAAATAAATTTTTAAAAAAGGTGACAAACTGTCTCATGTGAGAGAGATGATGCTGCATATATTTAAAGTGATCAATGATTACACTGCGATGCCAAAGACATGCACGAAAACATATCCAACCTCCTCCCCCTCCCCAAGCAGCATTTTCTAGTGGTGACTCCAACTCCATTTCATTACCTGAGACTTCAAATTTTTCCAAAAGTCAAAATATTAGTTTGTGAAGGGCCCAAAATTGGTAAGCAGTTTAGCAGATTTCTGTAAGCTTAAATTTGAAGTGAGAGGGGGGAAGAAAAAATAAGTCTTAAAGGGATTTAATTTAAAGATCCTTTTTCCAAGCATACAATTCTTCCTTTGCAACTACAGAACTGCCACTATAACAACATAAGCTATTGCTCGGGAACCAAAAAAGCAATATATCATCCTAGCAACACAACAGAACATGTTGAGGAGAACATGAATCCATCTCAAGGCCCTGTCTGGCTGGTTCAAATTCTCTCTAGGTTAAAAGCACGTTTCCTTTAGCTTTGCCACGCTGTACCTGAATGCCCCGAGCAGTGAGGTGGTCAAAAAGTGCTTTCCTCATTAGCAATCTGCCGAAAGGAGAAAGATATTATTTAAGAACTTGAAGTATGTGTGAAATTTTCAATGTCTGTTGATGCTTTGTAATAAATTTTCCATAGAGCATTTCAATTCGGCGTTTTCCACTAGAAAGTGATTAGAAACCTAATTATAGAAAACTTTTAGTTTAAGCAACTCAAGACTGGTTAACACAAGATACCCAGAAATCTGTACCAGCTACAGACACCTGTGTCAACTCTTGTGAAGATCAGCTCCAGCAGAACCCTCTGCCACTGTACAGGTGCCCTGTACCACGTCTGACGAATCAAACCCTTCGCTTTCAGAAGAGACTTTATCCTTCACATCAGAAGACTTGAAAACTCTACTGGCTGCTCAAGAAAACAAGCTAAGACACATCAGACACCGAAGCAAGAGCCAGAAGATGCTTATTGCAATCACGTTCCACCTCTGAAAGCATATGACTAGGTTTCCTCTGAAGCACAGATATTCTTAAAGTGCAAACCACTCCATGTAAACCAAACAGTAGCTCCTCTGACAACATTATAAAACCGTCACAATCCCATGGAACGTGAAAGCCTCGTTCTGAATCTACTTGCATGCTAATTAGCTGAACGCATTTAACGACAGAAACTAAACAGATTAAATTGGAATAAGGCCCACTGTTGCTGCGCCTCAGTATGTTTCAGTGTATGAAAAATAAAAGCATACAAGAACACCTACGTAAGATTTGGGTATGATTTGTGCTGCGCTGACAAAAAAGCTAGAAGAAACTGAAAAAAAAAAAATACAAGTAGCTATAGCAATAGCTAGTCTTAGTTGCTTGAGCCAACTGTTAATATATAGACAAAATATAAATGAAAATCTAATCAGATTAAAATCTTACGTGTCAGCTAGCCAGATAATAAATTTCTGGCTTCTTGTCATCTTCTCTGGTTCTTTCAGCCTGTTGAGGAAGAGGAAACAAAAAATAACCACAGCACAGATTAAAACACTCTTTGAGATGTTCCTGCAAAAGGAGCATGAAGAATTAATCTTGCAAATTCTCAAATTAGAGCAGTAATTTCACTAAGACAGTGACTTAGAATTGGGTCACACGAGAGGAACGTGCTACCTTTAAGAGCAGCAGCAGAGATGGGTATTCAGCAGCATTCTGAGTAAGGTATGAGAGACAAGGAGCACGTGAAATCTCATACCTACCCTAACACTGACTTGCCTCTTGGCCTCAATGCAACTAATTTGTTCTCAAGAAAGAGGGAGAAAAGTGCAAGAATTAGTTATTTGTACAGAACTGCTACATGTTACTATCCTGATGGCACCAGCACGAGCTGTGTTGCAAAGGCAGCTGCGTGAAGGCGGTATTTACAGGAGATGCTGTAAACAAGAAACATTGATACACACAGGCACGCCACACTAAGAACTAATTTGGAGCTGGCTAGACACGGGTTAAATATAGAGGGGCAGAAGATTTGCATAGCTTTGTCTCAGGAATATATAAAAATGCCTTAAACTAACAAACCAGTATCCTCAGCCCAAGGATGCGACTAAAGCAATGCTCAGGCTGGCATTACCATTCACTTCTTTATTATTATTTCAGTGCAGCACCCACTGATGGGCTCTAACTCACTTGAGGATGATTGAAGGCATGGGAATTTCCAAGAATTCTTCCTTGAAAGGAATGAATGGCAGCAGACCGGTGTAGAACAGGCCCAGGAGCAGGAGGACACGTTGCAAACAGAAGATGATGGGAATGTCAGCATTCTGCAGGAACCAGGAAAGCAAAAGTCTAAGTTATCTTGGTAGATTGTTGAGTCTCTTGCGACTAAATTTACTCAATGCCTGTTTAAAGTTTAACACTTGCACCTAAAGATTAGGCTGCCAACTGTTTATGATATGCCTGACACTGAACCTAAATTACTCTTTCTGGTAACATAAGCAAAAGTTTCATGCGATTTGAAGGGGCAATGGGGACCCAAAAAGGTAAAATTTCACTGGTCGCAGTGCTGCTTTTGTTACCTGCCTTCATCATCTTTCCAGACTGCACGACACGACGCAGCATTTTGTCTTTGACTAGTGTTACCACAAAGAACAAGCTGTGCTTTAGCACAGGACTTGTTACAGTTGGGTATCACATCAACTCACTTCCCAACACATTTTTAAAAGATGCTGGTTTATGAACCAAAGTATTTGGGCACTGATGCTACAAAAACGAACAAATACAACTGCTGTTCAGGTAGAAAATGGTGGGTTGTCCTGCACTGATAAACTGGAACAGTGTCAGTACTGTCACCTAGATCAGTTTCACTCGGGTACATAATTCCCCTCAGACTAAGCACAATTTTAATTTAATTCTGAATTGTACAATTTCTCAGCACAGAAACAATCTATAGCTGTAAAACCAATATAGCTGTGTGTCAGCTAGTGGCCACATCCATTATTTTCATAGAAAGAAACACACAATAAGCAGTCCTTAGAAAAACTGCTTTTGTACCACAGGAATGATGTGCAAAACAGACTCTAAGAGTTCCTGGCATAAAATCATCACACCCTATATTTCACAGAACAAGAATAAAACATGATTAAGCTTAAATCCTCAAGTATTTTATTGCCAAGTATATGGGCGTTAACTGTGCTTGACATTGTAACAGTGCAAAATCTAAGTGCAAAACTTCTCATCGCCTCTAAAAGTCTGACGTAGCTGGCCAGGTCTTGATTTACTGACTGCTTTTCTGTATATTTTGTCACCATGCAGTAACAAACAGGCGAGAACAAAGCTTAGCTGGACCCATTCTTACCTCCTTAAGACATTTTGATACAACCTCGTAGTTGACATTCCCCCACACCGTCAAATGCTCTCGCTTATACTGACTCACCAGCTCTGAAACCTGCAATACAAAAAAGAACCCTAACACGTATTCATTGAAAATTATGTGCAGCGTTACATAACTGAAACTCTACTTGCTACTTTTCAGCTACCTATGTCATTACACAAAGGATAGTTCTATACACTCTCCCTTCTTAAGATGATTGTGCTGCTTTCACTGGGAAGAAACGGGTGTTCAGGTCGACAGATAAAAGGAAAAACCATTATGCCTACAGAAAACCCCTGGAGAATTTCAAAAACCTAGATGGCAAATAGTATCTGATGGAAAGCAGATTTCCTTTTCTGTGATGAACACTTATCTTTGCACTGACACCATGCTTTTATGCTGCTTTGGTAAGCAACAGCCCATAAGAAGACCCTTCATATGAAGTACCAAACAAACATTGTCTCTTGCAGCGTAGCATCAGTTTCATGTCAAGATAAAAAGTCAGCAAAGAGCTGTTTGCTGAGTATCTTGCACAAGATCACTTGTCTCCCGTATTACCTCCTACATGGAGCAAGATCTAACACGTGAAGGATGAAGCAGTCCAAGAACACAGATTTTAGTGGCACAGACTGCTAGCAACTCCAAGAAACTTTTGGAATTTAAACACCATTACATGGCATTCAGCCTCAGTTCAGTGTAGATTTTCACGTACCTTTTTGATCAAGACATTGTTGTTCACTTTGATGTCAATGTTGACAGGAGTTTGTGGAAATGCCTCAAACACCTCTTTCAGGAGTGGAATACGGTTGTCTTCTCCCTCACAGTGACATTCTGAGAAAACAAGAACATTGACACTGCTGTGACCATTTTTAATACATTGCAGATAAAAGCATGTCAGGGCATTTGTTATCTTAAAATTAAAAATAATGTATTGTTCCTAGAATTAGCAAATTTTTTAACCTGAAGAAAAAAAAATTGCTTCACTGTTATAATTAATTATGACAAGCTCACCTCCATAATGAAAATGCCCTAAGCATATTGCACGTTTAGCTCCGAACTTCAAAAATTCAGACATTATTTAGCAGCAGTAGGAGTGCAGGCATCGTTAAAATCTTGAAATAGCAAAGACGGGTTCAGTTACCACATACCAAAGGCAATGAAATTAATACGAAGCGAGACCAAATGAGAAAAACTTTTCCTTCTTGGAAAAATTTACTGGAGAAGCATAATGAGGAAAGGGAACAGACGGCAAATGTTACTGTCTGAAACTGCTTGCAGCTCTAGGGAATTAACTGACAGCTCTTGCCATCTCTTTGTATTATTGTACATAAACAGAAGACATATACCTGTGAAAATAACACACCATGGATCTCATCTTGGTGCATTTTAAGTATTTTGCAATTCTGAACAGAAAAGTTTAACATGTTTGCTTGCTGGGCGATTCAAATACGGAAAGGCTACACAAAGATAGTCACAAAGCCCCTCAAGCAAACACGTCTGATATAACCTCCTGATATAGCCTTTTCTAGGTGGAAGTGCTCTCAGTTTTAGCCAGTATGCTTTATTTAAATTACAGTCCCATGAATAACAGTTTTCACAAGAAAACAGGTTATTCTTTTTCCAGGTTTTCCCCTCTTGCAGCAATATCGGTACTGGACTTTAAGCCATACATACAGTAACTACTATTTTCATTCACCCTCCTGAAAACATCTCTAATATCTGACATCTCATAGTACTTCAAGCCCAGGGGGCACCAGCACAACGGCATTTGCGTTGTAAAGAAACTCTCTTCTGCCTTCTCTTTGTTTTTCAGAACAACAAATTTTCAATCAGCACCCTCTGAAGAGTCACAAGGGAACTGGAAAGCAGTTGCAAGAAGTAGAGAAGCAAACAATTGAAATGTTTATTTGGGAAAAAGATGTATCTTAAACTTAGCCACTGCCAAATGGCATGAAAAAAAACCACCAAACCACACCTTGGTATCTAAAGCTAGGATTATATTTTCCTTCTAAAACTTCTCTTATCAAGATACTGATAGAAGCAAATCCACTTTTCTACTCCCTTTGCTAAAATAAGAAATTGCCACACTAAGATAATGGAAAATTAGTTACTGTAAATTGAAAGAGCAAGAGACAAAAACTTACCTTTCTGAAATGTGACATCCAGCTTGCAGAGATATGGTGGAAGTTCCTTAAAAATAAAAGGAAATGGAACATTAATTAAAATGCAAGGATCTAATAATGAATTTTCTCAAAAAAGACCAAGAAATTCCAATTCATACGCCACATAAGCTATCTTTAAAGACAAAAATAATAATTACAAAAAAATCTTTTTGCCCCAAAAGTGATTTAGAAGCACTGCGTTCATTCTTACTTGAACTACGTGGCATTCTTAGACATGTGTCACCTGTAGCTGAATAAAGCAAAATGTTTTCAAATGCCTGTCTGAAAATTCTGAGAATTCCACTTAAATATCAGGTGGAAAGACAGTTCTGTACAACAGGCTTTTAAAACTGTCAATGCAGGTGGGATGCATCAACCGGTTTCCCCATCAAAAATTTGCTCATATGCCAAGGAGCTTGTTGCCTAAGCTTCCTTTGTCACCAGTATGGCAAAACAGGCCACCTCCAGAGTGCTATTCATCCAGCCTACTATTGGAGGGAGTTAGCTAATCACCCTCTGGAAATGTGCCTGGTTTTCTCCTTTGACTACACACGGAGCCTAGTTAACTTTTAAGTCAGACAAGATGAATCCTCTCCTTTGATTCTGGATAGGACATACACACACAAACCTTCCTGCCCACCCCAGCCACTCTACAAACGCATTTTAAAACACCATCCAGCACCAACCTTTTTAATTCAACTTACAGAATATTTGAGGTCAGATATGTTGACATCAACTCCTGTTGATCTCTTCAGGTTCTCATCATGGGACACAACCACTTGCTCATCTTTTGTCAGGTGACAATCTAGCTCCAACATATCTGTTCCTATATTAACTGCACTGGAAGCAAAGAAGTCAGCCTTGAACCACACATGTATTTTGTACAGGTCCAAGCCTAACACGTATGTGTTATTCGATTAAACTAATCCCACTGGAAGTACTTTATAGATGCTTTATGATGCAATGAATCCTCACAATCTTGCTGCAAAGCACTAAGCAATTAACACTGCTGCAATGAGAAAGCTGATGCAAGAATAAATAACATATCATGAATCAGGGATGGGATCTGAACCCTGGAACTTTGGCTCCGTCCTCCACAGAAATCAAGCAGCACACCAGCTGATTGCAGCCTATCACCTCCGTATTGAGAAACCTACTTCCAAAGCGTTGTTTCGGAATTTTAAGCGTGATGTTTATTAGTATCGGCACATTTACCACTGGAAGAAGTGAGCTCTTTTAAGAAAAGTAATCAATTTTGTGGTAAGCATAAACAACAAGTGACAGGGAAGCGAAAGCCCTTTTTTCCCCTTGATTTAAGTTAAACAGGAACAGATGGATCAGGAAATTAGCAATGGGGCTTTCGGGCTTTTGGCTAGCAAAACTACATTTTAAAAAATTATTATTTTAATGAAAAAGTTTTAAATTTAAAAAAAAATCACTAAAAAACCCAGTCATATTTTTCAAGGAAAAAGAGCTATTCCCTTTCTAACCCACTGCTTTGAAAAGTTCTAATCCAATCCCAAATCCACTCTATAGAAGCTTAGCTCATAGGAGGAGGAGTAAAGAAAGCAGGAAAGGAGTAACAATATTGATGAAAAATAAGTACAAGCGACTTCAGAGCAGAACAAAAAAAAAAAATCTAAGTCCCAGCCTGAAGTCTGAACACTTTCTTCAAAACACTGGGCTGTTCTTTTTATCCAGCTACGAACAAACCTGTAACATCTGTGAGCACAGTCTCTGCGGGACCCAAAGTTCTGCCACTTCAGTAACAGCCTTTTCCTCAAGGAAAGGGCTTTATTGACTGCTGAAGTACAGACATGCCATAAACATTCACAAATGCAATAATAAAACAAAACAAAACAAAAAAAAAGAACATACTCCCATAAGTATTTAACACAATTTCTGGTCATGCTGGGATAACGATCAAGAGGGCCGTCAAATTAAAACCAATTTGTTAACTGTTTTACAGTGCCACCAATTAAGAATTAGGAGAGGTACAAAATTCTATTACAGATGGAAGACACACCGCCTGTTCAGGGTAATTTTTCCTCCTGAGGAAAAGCATCGCCAAATAGGCTGCAGGAGACTTGCCAAATCCGTAGATGCTCCCATCTAGTACCACGTATTATCATTTAACCAGCAGAACTTATTAGAAATATTGCTGCTTAAGAAATTCAGGACTGATGCTGCGCGGAAAAAGGAGAACAATAACTTTCCTTGTTAACAAATTTGAGAATTTGCCAGGCTCTTACTAGCAGCTTGCGGCTAAATAAGCTTCCTTAAAGTGCTGAGGTTTTTTTCAGCTGGAAATCTGTTCTGCAGCTCTGTAATAACATACGAAAGCTACACTGCTCCAGAGGAGACTCCGGATGCTCTCCAGATTCAGAAGAGTGTGTTGGATTCGGATCCAGCTGCTCCAGAACTCAAGTTGTGAGGCAGGCTCACATTTGCAAATTAGGATGACAGAGCTCTTTGCTTATGTTTAACTCCCAGGTGTTTCCTCAGAAATATATAAGAAAAAAGCCCTACCTTGGAAACTAAATTCCATTAGGCAAGGCCTAATGTAGCACAGCGTATAGACTTTATATAAGTTGACCACGTACTTTTATTGCTGTTAACTACAGCGTTTAAAGCTTTGTCTCTAAATATGTTCAGGAAAGAAAAGCAAATACAACGCAAAAATATCTGGAGAGTTTACCTAGCAGCTCCCTGTAAAACAATTATAAAGTACATGGCTGAATTAGGGACAATTAAGCTGGTAATTAAATTCTTATGACATCTTTTATGCCAGATCCCCAAATACTTTAAGACACTACAAGTGTCTCCCTTAGCTTAAAATCAGTTATATTAAAACCTAAAACCACCACAGAAGCATTAAAATACAGTATAACCTGTCTCTT